AATTATTTGACACTCTTATGTTCCTTGAAGAATATGAAATACCAAAGAGGGATAACTGAACACAGTCCACTAAATTTTGGTTAAGAAAAACTTCCCAAAAATCTACAAGCCTAAACCCCAGGTACTATACTAATTTAATGGGTCGTAGATCACACCAAGTAATAGTCCATAACCCCAAATCATAGTCCAACCACCAAATATTCCACAATGGGAATGGTTTGTCTGAAGCCTAGGCTCTAACCAATCATATTAGAGCCTACCTTCAAATGTCGCTTCAAAAATAGTGTAGATCGATATTGGTTTCAATACTGAAAATCTTTGTGATAGCCTTAAAATAGTGGAAATCTTTGTCGAGAAATGTGGTTTCAATACTGGAAATCTTTGTGATAGACTTGAAATATATTTTCATCTTTATTTATAAAGTTTAAAGCTTCAAAAATAGTGTAGACCGATAGATCTATGAAAAGTTGAAAATCTTGAAAATTGACGGTCCAAAAATACGTTACAAAATACAATATTTTCAAAAGTTGAAATCCTTTTTTTCTCATGTCTATGCATCTTGATGTCGAGATTATCAATTTGAGGATATATTTGGGCATCAAAATAAGCTCTTCTAGCGCATTTTTTTAGGAAGGCTCTAATTTGAAAGTTTTTATTGGGGCATCAAAACAACCTATTTTAAGGGAAAAAGTATTTGAAATTTGTTTGAATGGATGCCATACCGGTCCAAAATGACCAAATCTCAACAAATAAGGGAATCCCAAGGAAAAGTCGACAAGTTGGACCATATTTAGTCTTAACAACGCATATCGCATCGTTGTCCCACTTTAGGCTCATATTGAGCTGGATGTTGAAGAGATGGGAGGGGACTCAAAGACGAATACAATTGTCCACGTCTCACCTCAAATGGATCTCATATGAGAGAGATATGGTCCGTCCAAGTTATTGTCTTTTTGCTGAAAATTACGTCAGCAATGCCAAAACATTGTAGATACAACCTCTTCCAATTCATATATCAAACAATGTTGTACTTTTTAAGGGTGATAGAGTATCAAGTCATGAATCCGATGGCCCTGGTCCCATGAAAAAATTCCTCATATCAAGAGAGGAATCCCAAATTTGGTGAATAGGTATCATCATAACTATAACGAACGGGGTATAAAACTTTTAAGGCTTTAACCACCGAGGTATATGAATGATGAATGAATTCACCTCTAGGTGATACGAAACCTCGGGGTAAGGGCTATGATGCCCCGAACATAAGCCCCTGAGAGTCTTGGCTCAATTCCAAAACATGAAGTTTTAGAGTGTCAATCAAGGCATATCTTAACTGACAGTAGATATGGACATGGGTTAAACCAAGTCTAAATATTATTCAAGTTATATCATTCATGGACTTTTAAAGAATATAAGGCATCTACATATATATCTTCAAGGATTTACCTCAATATATCAACATACAGCGAGGTTTCCCTTATGCTTCGTCTAATAAAACCCTATTTTCTTAACTAACAATGGTTAAAAGAGTCATATCACATCTCATCCAAAACTCCTCTAATATCCGGTGAAGAGACATACATAAGTCATAGGAGTATATGTATCCCAGAGTTTTGTATTAAATTGGAACATCATCATGATCTCTTATCATAGATCGTAAGTTAAGATGCACATGTGCAACTGATGACGAATTTAGGAAAATATGTATATCAAACCGCATCAAGTTCCTCCCCATATCACATGGATAGGTATATCAGGCCTTAGGAGCATATATATTGTAGAACTTATCTCACAATGAGATGGCTTTCATATCTTCTATCATCAACAGTAAATTAAACTTAAACATGCTTAATTGACAAGTTATTGGTATCATATCTTTTATCAGTCGTAAGTCATGACATATAGGGGCTGACCAACGAGTCAGGGTTCCGAAGGCATATTGGAGCCTCATATCATGAATCTTGAGCATATCATATCTTTTATATATTCATATCTTATTGGGGTATATCATATCTTCATATTATGTCAAACGTATATCACACCTTCAAATCATATCAAGGGCATATATTGGCAGATATTATCAAGAACCATGCTTGTATCTTATCCACCGTCGGTTAAGCCAGTTATCAAGCGTGCATCAAAAGATTTCGCTTTATCATACTATTTTCATCAAGCGATGGTTAGAACATTCTCAGTCTTACATATGGTAACTAAGAACATATTCAATTACCAAAGCACATCTTCAAAGGCTGAGCTTATCAAGCACACATATCTTTATCCAGCGTTTGTTAAGGCATCTTATCTATCATTAAAGTATGCATTAGAATCTCTGCCTTATAAATACCTCAATCTCTATCGAGTATTTGTTAGAATACATCTAGTCTTATATGTGATTAAAAGTACCCCAACAGTTATACACAATCCAAATTTTCTCTTACTTTCTATTAAAATGAGAATTTTGATAGATTTTAAGGGACATCTGGCAGACGAAACCTTAACCAGTCTTTTCAATCTCCAATCCTAGAAAAACTCCAATAAACCTAGGTCAAATCAAACCATAAACCCATGTAACTCGGAACACAAATGAACCGATATAAGGAGAAGAACATTCCTCTTGACCCTAAGCTCTAGACAAACATTCCAAGCAAATTCTCTCCTAGGGTTCAACGTCAACTTCTAGTTCAGCAAGTCTTTAAGAACAAAGGAACGAAGCTCGCCCTTTCCATGTGATCCAGCCCCAACTTCTGGTGCCAGACCTGAGGGCCCGCCTTCAGGTATTTTTGTTCTTTTAGATGTTGTTTTTGTTTCCTTTTTTTATTTGTTCTATGTTTCTAAGCTCTTTCTAAAACTCTCGCCTTGTTCTTTTTAGCCTTCTAAAATTTCTTAGGTTTTACTTAAATTTGATGTGGCCCCTGGCCGACAAACTATGAAAAAGAAGATTCCTTTGAGACAAATTTTTCATGGATTGGAATTTGACGGAACCCACAATCTATTGAATTTAAATAATGGCTTTGTGTACAGATCAGGGTGGAATGAATGTAGGTTGTTTCGTTTCAGATTTCGTTTGTAAACACAAGTCATCCAAATTTATCACCCTAGTTCTACCCTATCAAATCGACCTTTCTCTTGCCCAAATTAAATTGCGCATATTCTTTCCCTCCCATCACCATACCCATAAAGCCCCCAGCCCTAAATAAGCCTTAATTTCATATCATTACTACAATTTTACTGCATTAAACAGCATAAGCATCCTTTAAAACTAAACTCAATTCAATTATTTCATCTCCATATGAGCCTACCAAAAATTGATACATTAGAGTAGGATCCAATTACATTAATCGGATATAATTTGTGGTTTTGAACTAAACTAAGCATTCCTAATTTAGAAAATTGAATTTTGTTTCTTCTAATATTGGATTTTGTGTGCAATTGAAATAAAGTGAAACCCCGTTCCTCTAGGACACTGCCGAATATTTATTCCTTTCTAGTACAAGACACAGCACATGGCCTTCTTTTAAAGCGAAAATATCCAGAGTACGCCTAGTAGGGATTAAAAGAAGGAAAAAGTTTATAAAACGTTGCGACATTAAAGTGTAGAATTAAAGATGTCCCTCAAAAATCCAGGAAAAGATTGTTTTATTGTTGTAAAACCTCTCGACTTTGAGATATATTAACATATATAAAAAAGATTTTTGAGTCTCAGAAATAGAGCATCGTGCAACATATTATCTAAACCGTTCATGTTTCAATATTTTCATATGTTTATAGATCTACTTGATTTTAATCATTTTTTGATTTTAAAATTTTATAATTAGATATGAAAATAGATTTTGAGATAATCTTAAAAATGTTTTATACCAAAATTCCATATTATGATAAAATTTGGAGGTGCGTCTTAATTGGATTGTTTATGGTTACAACCTTATAGACACGATACCCTTAAAAACGGTTAAAAACCATCTCATGTTAAGATTAAATTCGAAAAAAAACATAATTATTAAATACAAATAAATAAAGAAGATAAGTTAGGTCTATCTATTATTGCAAATAATTTTCCCACACTCAACTTAGGGAAAGGCTCTTGTGAACTCCTCCCATGGCATGTAGGATTTGGAAACTAGCAAAAATTCCAAAACTAGCACCTACACATTCAGACATGTCATCATCTTCAAATATCCCATTACAAAATTGCTCCCTTTCTCTTGAACAGTTCTCTATTTGTATAGGAATGCACAAAAGGTAACTAATTTTAGCCTTTATGATATAATTGGCAAGTTAAAATAAAAGAAGAAAGAATCTAGCATTATATAGGTATTGGCCGGCTTTAAGATTCTTGTTGCCATCACTACGACAAAATTGCCGCGTAACAATGCTCACCATCCAAAACAAATTATGGCAAAAGATATTCTATTCCCTAGGGAATATACTGTCTATTTATTTCTTCAGGTAAAACCCCACGTAGGATTAGTTTTAAGACCATTTGGGGATGTAACCTCTTTATCACATAGATTAACCTTAATAAAATAATTTTCTTAATTGCATCTGCTAAGCATTTGAAAAAAATAATGTCCGAAGTTTGAAAAAAAAAAAAATCCAATTTTAGAGAGGTGAGATCCAAGACTCAAATTTCAACTTTTATTTTCAAGTGAGATTCAATTGTCAGAAAACTCAAATTTCAATTTTTTTTTTCGCAAATAACTATCACGGTTGTTCTAGGTGGTTAACAAAATTTTACATTGAAACAATCCATCCAAGTAGACCATCGAGTAGAAGAAAAATATGCTCCCGAGGGATCATAGCATGGTGCTTATAAAACTATGAGTACCGCGTACCCCAAACTTATAACTACTTATTACACTATTTCAGTACGTAATGAAATAGGATGTTTTGAGGGAGACACATTTTCACTGTATTTTTGCTAGATTATATTTCAAAGAAAGGAAGGTATGGGACAGTATGGACCTTATTTAGCCTTGCTTTTGTTTCAAACCACCCTTGCAGTAATGGTGGTGATCACTAAAGTGGCATTTCGTCAAGGAATGAGTCCTTATGTTTTTGTGACCTACAGACAGGTTTCAGCCACCATTGCCATTGCTCCATTTGCTTACTTCTTAGAAAGGTAGGCCTCTCTCTCTCACTTTTTCTCTTTCTTTCTCTCTGTATTTGTTCACTATCTTTTCCATGTAAATGTTCTAGGAAAATAAGGCCTCCTCTAAGCATTAAAATGTTGGTTCACATCTTCGTGGTGGGACTCTTAGGGTAAGGACATTTTAATGCCCTTTTCGATATCTTGTATCATAGTGTTGTGTATTTAATATCATATTGGTTTGTATTTGATTCTGACAATGTTTAGAAGGACGAACTCGCAGAGTGCCACTCACTCAAAATCTCTATTTCGTGGGCCTCTTTTTCACCTCTTCTACCTTTGCTGCCACGTTAATGAATCTCATCCCCGTCTTTACGTTCCTAATGGCGTATTTCCTTGGGTATGTTGTCCTTGATTCTTTTTGTTTTCTTCAAATTTTTCTTGACCTCTGATAAGGAAAAATGCTCCATTTATAGGTGGAATTTTAATATGTTTTTTTAGTTTGTTTTGTTAGTAGGGCTCTATCTTAAAGCTTGGGGCACTTCCATACTAACGAAAAGACTAAAACAAAAAAAAATAAAAATAAAATTCGGACCGAGTATTTCATCATCAGACCAAAGAGCAATTTTGTAAAAAAATAAAAAAAGGCAATTGACTGACCTTTTATGCAATTTTTGTCGATAAAGGGATCCTTTAATATTTTCGAAAACATTTTAGGTTCTATATGTCAATCACTCTATAATGTACATGAGGTCGTTTATTTTTGGATCAAGAAGATCACAACGACCCTTAATATTATGATGTGAAGTTAAGCAGCTAGGGTTGCTCTATAAAGTTAGTGACTTTGAATGTATAAAAAAGTTCCAACCATTTAATTTCACATTTGACAGCTAACAGTGTCAGTGACTTTCTTGATCTTGAAATTAATCTCAACACATTCTTTTTTTGGTTTTTAGGATGGAGAAAGTCAACATAAGGAGTTTAAGGGGACAAGCAAAAATTTTTGGTACAGTCATATGTGTTGGAGGTGCTATGCTTATGACATTAATCAAGGGCCCATCCATTCATTTCTTTGATTTTCTTAAAACGTCTACCTCTCTTTCCGAGGCTTTGGGTACATCATCAGCTGCTCCAGCAGCAAGAGATAATTGGATATTAGGGCCATTTTTGCTTATATTAAGTGTTATAGCATACGCCTCATGGGTGGTTTACCAGGTCAACACTACGTTTTTGCATATTTGCAATGTTATTTCATATTTTTTCACCTCTTATCTCCACTGTGTTTAGTCATATTTCTGTGTTTTCAGGCATGGGCATTCAAGAATTATCCTGCTAAGATGTCTGTGACGGCGATGATGTTGTTCATCGGCGCAATCCAGGCTGCTGTAGTTGGGGTTATCTTTGATAGGTCCTCTGCTTGGAGATTATACTGGAATTTTGAGCTGTTTACATATGTTTATAGTGTAAGAAATTCCTCCATTCTCTCTCTCCTTTCTCTTCCCCCCGCGAACAGAAAAACAGGGTACTCGATAATTTGTTAGGTTTTTATGGTGATTGAGTTCCTAATTTATATACTCAATAATTTGTTCGGTTTTTAAAGTGTTTGATTTCTTAATTTATAGGTGTTTGGTGTATAACATTATAACTTTGAGAATTTCATGAACAAATCCATATTTAGGGTGTCATGTGCTCTGCTGTAGCATTCATTATTTTGAGCTGGTGCATCAAGAAGAGAGGCCCTGTCTTTCCAGCTGCATTTACTCCATTGTGTACGGTGTTCGTCGCAATTTTGGAGCCAATTGCACTTCATGTCGATATTCACGTCGGAGGGTAAGTGTCTATGACCCTGTTTGGGCAGAGCACAAAACAGAATTTCTATTTGGCATAGTCCACACGTTTGTGTTAGTCCATTTCAAGACACTTTATTGGAGAAACACGCAAATGCCGCCAAAACCTACTGCAATTCTTGTTTTTTTTTTTTTTTATGATATTAAAAGCGACGTTGAGATTAATATAATTGCGTTGCCATTGTAATTTTTCTTGAGCGGGTATCGATGGGTTTAGATTTGGCTCGGGCCCTGAACTCGCCCCAGCGCTAGCTGAGTAATTCACCCAAGCCCAAGTGGACTCTGTCAAGTAATGTACAGGGCCGAAGAAGTCGACAGTGTACTGAGCCGAAGAATCCCTAAGGCCACTTTTGTTTCTTGGAAGATAAACGTTTTCCGAAAAAAAAGGAAGTTTTTCTTTCTCGGAAGTGACAAACAATGTAATAAATAATATAAT